AAGGCCTTGAGGTCTGTCTTAGCGCACACATCCTGCGCATCCCAGGAGGACAACACTGCAGATGCTGTCCAGCTCCCTGAAGATCCTGCCCTTCCCTTCCTCTGCATGGCCACACCCAAGAGTCACTGCAGGGGCACTAGCAATTCCAAAGGAGCCGAGGACCACGCGTGGTACGTGGACATCCACCCTGGCCTGAGTTTGCTACCCCTGAGGTCCTGCTGGCCCCTGCAGGCCCTGGCCACTCCTTAATTACAGAGAGGACTCTTGTCTTGTTTTAGTACACATTTGCAATACATAATGATTACGTTCTTTCTTTGTGCAGAGTTGGCACATGCACAATACACATCGTAATTTTCTTTTTCATTCTCTTCCCCTTCCCTCCGCCTCCCTCATCTCCTGGTTCCCTTCCCATTTAACTTTTTTTTGAGGAACCGGGGATTGAATTCATGCCCTTGCGCTTGCCAGGCAAGCGCCTATTCTACTGAGCTATCTCCCCGGCCCCTCCCCTCCCATTTAAGAAAGATTTCTCTACATCCTGTTATATATCCTTCATTCTGTTTCTTATTTATAATTTGGGTGTTTCATGTTAAAAGAAAACATGCACTATTTAAGTTTGAATTTCACTTTCCATTATGGTCTCAAGGTGCATCTATATTCCTACAAATCACTCTCAGGTTTCTCTCTCTTTATGGCAAAGTGGTTCACCATTGTGTATAAATACTGCATTTGCTTTATCCATTTATCCTGGGGTGGACATATGGGCTATTTCCCAGATAGCACTATTACGGATTGTGCTATTATAAACATGGGTGTGTTTGTGACACTGAAATATGATGTCTTCAGTGATTTTGAGAAGATACCTGGGTGGAATGGAATTTCCAGTTTTCTGAGGCACTTCCTCACTGACTGTCACACTGGTTATACTAGTTCACACGCCCACCAATAATGGAGAAGCTACCTTTTTTCTCATGTCTTCTCTAGCATCTGTTACTATTTGATTATTTTAGTGACAGTCATTCTTTCTGGGGTACAATTCTCTCTCTCTCTCTCTCTCTCTCTCTCTCTCTCTCTCTCTGGCAGTACTGGGGATTGAACTCAGGACCTTGCGCTTGCCAGGCAAGTGCTTATTCTACTGAGCTATCTCCCCGGGGCCCCTAATGCTATCTCAGTGTTCTTTTAATCAGTGTATCTCTAATGGCCAACAATGTTGAACTTTTTTTCATTCGTTTATTGGTGTTTTGTACTTCTTCTGAGATGCATCTATTCATTTCACTTGTCTCTTTTTGATTGGGTCTTTCATTTTGGGATTTTTAAAGAGTTCTTTATAGAGTCTAAATATCAATCCTTTAAAGAGCATCTAGCAAAAAAAAAAAATTCCCATTCTGTAGTTTGTCTTTTCCTGCTGGTTGTTTCCTTTGCTATGCAGCTTTTATAATTTGAAATAATCCCATTCATTGATTATTGATGTTTATTCTTGTATAACTGGGGTTCTGTTCAGAATGTCCTTGCTTATGCCTATGTATTAAGTGTTTTACCTATTTTATCTTCCAGCAGATTGTTTCTGTTTTAACATTTAGATCTTTGGGCCATTTTGATTTTGGTTTCACGCATGGTGAGAGATGTGGGTCTAGGATCATCTGTATGTGGAAAGCCAGTTTTCCCAGCACCATTTATTCAAGAGGCTGTTGTTCCACCAATGTATGTTTTGGGCCCCTTTGTCAAAGATCAGATGGCGGCTAAGTGTGCCTGAAGCTGATTCTACAACGTGTATTCTGTCCCATTGATCCAAGAATCTGTTTTCCTATTTTACCATGCTGTTCTCACTATAGCCTTGTAGTATAACTTGAAGTCCAGGATTGGAATGTCTCCTGCTTTGCTCTTGTTACCCAATATTGTACAGGACTTTCATACTTTCCTGTAAAAGAAGTGCTTTATACCTTCTCTTTGTCACATCTTGACAAGAGTTACTACTCTTATACTTTGGTTTTAAGTATAGCTCTGAGATTCTGTGATAGTTGACTTACTACCAAAGTTGACTTCCAAGTGACAAATGAGCAGGTGGTGGGCAGGACGTGGACACAGTGGACAGAAGGAAGATTCTCATCCTAGGCAGGTGGGATGAGGTGGCTTGTGATTACACCATGCTGCTCAGAACAGCACAATTTGAAATTTGTGAACTGTTTATTCCTGGAATTTTCCACTTAAACACAACTGAAAGAAATCAAACACAGAAATCATGTACGTTATAATCCAAATTTTATGAAATAGCGCCACCATAAGCAAACCCATAGGACAGAAGGCAGGCATGTGATTTCCTAGGGCAGGGGAGGAGCATGAGGGGAGGGATTTCAGGCTGGGGAACAAAGAGGTTCTGAAGCCGGCTAGCAGGAGGTGCGTGACACTGGGGCTTCTCACTGTGCTCACCTGTACACTTCATAGTGGGGAAACAATAACTTTTATTTCACATGCATTTTCCCACATACAATAAAAGGACACACCGAGCTACTATGTGACGTGGGAATTTAGTGCCTAAGTTCATGCCCAGGGGAACTAAGGCTGTGGCTGCACACAGTGGTCCCCAGGTGGCAATCAAAGCCTATGTCATTACAGCAGGAAGCAGAGACAACCCCAGCTTCCCTCAGCTCGGGAATGGATGTATCTGTTTCCTACAGTGCTGGAGCAATCTCTGGAGGACAACGTACATGTATGGTTTCACGGCTCGGGAGCCTGCAGCCCGGCTCCACCTGGCTGCTGGTGCTGGCTTGGGGTCCTTAATCTTTGTGACTCGTAGATGCCTGACTCCCTGCCCTGCCCCCCCACCATATAGCAGTCATTTTTTCGCAGTGTGTCTTACAGGGATGGATGTCTTACTGGATTGGGGGGTCCCCCTACTCTAGTAAGAACTTATCTTAATGAAGGATATCTAATTACATGCCTAGATAAGGTCACATTATGAGTACTGTAGTTAAAACCTCCATGTGTTTTCTGGGGGACATAATTCACTCGTAGCAGTGCACATACAAGTTGTGGTATATCCATTCCATGGAAAACTATTCAGCCCTAAAGAGAGTGTAATTCTGACACCCCTATAATACAATGCATATGAAACTTGAAGACAATGATGCTTCAATGAAAGAAGCATGATACAAAAAGCCACAACTATTGGGTTCCATTTATATAAAATATCCATGAAGACAAAAAGTACTTTATAAGGCCTGGAGGGAAGGGAAGAGTGGGCAGTTAACTGTTAACAGGTACAGAGCTTTTCTTGTAGAGGAACTGAAAATGTTCCTGAAATTAAATAGGATACTATCACAACATTGTGAATATACTAAAAACTACTGACTTGCACACGTTAAAGGAATTTAGGGTGTGTATGTTAGTTATTCTCCTCATGACTGAGGCAAGATACCTATGCCCACAAATTAAAAGAGGAAAAGTTTATCTCAGCTCACAGTTTGTAGAGGTTTCAGTCCATTGTCAGCTGGTTCCAAGGCAGGGCAGCAGGGCAGAGGGGCATCACAGAGGAGAAGCACCCCATCACAGAGGGGTGCTTTACTTCACCCCTCAGAACAGCTAAAGCAAAAGTAATGACAGCATCCAGTGCCAGAGGCCAGGCTGCCCTTCCCTTTTATCCCATGCAGGCTCCAGGCCTACTGATTGGAGCCTCCAGCACCCAGGGTGGGGCTTCCATTATTCACATCCAGAATCATGCTAAGCCAATTTAACACCACACACCCTTAATCCCAGTACCACACATCCTGGATCCAATCACCTCCAAAAAACCCCACCTGTTAGTGCATGAAGCTTTGGGGGGACGTCTAGATACAAGCCATAATACCGTGTAAATTATATCTCAAAAATTTTTAAGACCCTTTTTAAAGGAGGAAAAGACAAGTGACACTGGCAGAAAATATGTGCAAACCGCATTCACCAAAGGATCTGAATCTAGAACTCTGGGAGGCTGAGGCAAGAGGGTGGCAAGGTCAAGCCACACCTAGGATTTAGTGATTTAGCAAGAAGACCCTGTCCCAAAGTAACTTTTTTTTTAAGTTGGGCTATGAATGTTCTGCTACATTCTCAGTACTATACAAACAAAGACATAAGGATGAAAAGATGTCCACTGTCATCCACTGTTGGAAATATGCTAATTAAACTAGACAAAGGCTTTACTTCACCCCTCAGAACAGCTAAAGCAAAAGTAATGATAGCATCCAGCGCTGGCAATGATGCCAGCAAACTAGATTCTGCATGCGGAGCTGGTGGGAACAGAAACCGGAACAGCAACGTGGAAAAGTTTGACAAACTCTTACAATTTAACATCATGTGAGATAGCTCAGTAAAATAAGCACTTGCCTGGCAAGAGCAGGGCCCTGAGCTCAATCCCTGGTACCGCAAAAAAATAAATAAAATTTAAAAATAAAAATAAAATAAAACCATGTGCACTCACCATATGACCCAGGGAATATTATCTTGGGAATTTACTCTACAGAAAGGAAAAATCACATTCACAACAAAAACCCAAAGTTCCCAGAAACTTTATCCATAATAGTCAAAAACTGGGAAGAACCCAACCCGCTCCAACAGAAGTGTAACGTCACACCACAGATGCTGCTTAGCCACGCAAGGGACAACACACGGATAGAGGATCTCTCTTCAGATTTCAAGAGAATGATGCTTGGGGCAAAGAAGTCAATCTCAAAAGGCTATGTATGACTTATGTACAGAATGTTCTTTTTTGTTTGTTTGTTTCTTGCTATATAGTTCAGGCCAGCCTCAAACTCACAGCAATCCTCGGGCCTCAGCCTTCCTAGTGCTGGGATTACATGTATGAACCACCCTGCCCAGTCAAAAACATTCTTTTCTAAAAAATAGATTTTATTAGTACATTTTAGATACACATAATGATCCCATTCATCATAGAGAATTTGTACCTGTACATGAAAATAACATGGGTTTTTTTTTCCCCCATTCCCTTACCCTCCTTCCCATCCCACCTCCCCTCCCCTCCCCATTCACAAAGTTTGTTTCCCTGTTTTCCTTCTTTGGAACATTCTTTAAATGATAGAATTATAGATTAATAGTGTTTACCAGGGACAGGGTTGGGTGGATATAGAAGGTTGTGATGGTTGTTACATAAGTCTCCACAGACAGTGAAGTAATCCACACACACACACACACACACACACACACACACACACACATCCCTCTACATCTAACTAGTGAAGTCGGAATAAACTCTGTGGACTGTACCAATGTCAAGTTCCTGATGGTGATGTTGTGCTACAGGCCGGGTGTCCCTTGTCTGGGGAATCCTTGGGAACCCATGTTTCAAATTTCAGATTTTTTTTTTCCTGACTTTTGAAGATTTCCACATACATATTGAGATTTCTTGGAGGACAGGTTGCAAGTCTAAGCAGGAAAATCACTTCTGTCTCACGGACACCCTGTACCCATAGCCCGGGGGTCATTTCATACAGTAACTTTAGTGCACCTGCGTTTTGACTGTGACTACCACATGGGCTCGGGCGTGGGTCCCGCCTGCAGCGTCATCCACGCAAGCAGTTCAAGGTTTTGCAGCACTGTGTATCCAGGTTTTCACATTGGGGATGTTCAGCCTCTGCCGTTATATAACATGTCTCTACTGGGGACACACATTAAGGGACCTCTTGAACTTTTTTTTAAACTTTCTATAAATAGAATGTGTTCAAAATAAAGTTAAGTCAATGATGTGTCTACAAACACATTGAGTAGCTGATACCATCAGGGAGCTTGGCCAAAGAACACTGCCCGTCGCGCACATCTGGGTGGCCACAAGCCTGTGCGACAGCAGTGACCCCAGGTGGGTCCTGGAGATCTGCGTCGTCGGAGAGAAGTCCGGAAGAGAGGTGTGCGCGACCTCGACGTAGCTGGTCTCGGCCTCACTGCGGGGAAGAGGGAGCCGGCTCCGCCCACGTGACGCCTCCACGTGGCAGAGCGAGGAAGCCGGTTGAGCCCCGGGGGTCACTCACCCTCGCAGAGGCAGTCCGGGATCGACCCGAACTACAGGGAATGGCTAAGGTTTAAAAAACGTATTACGGCACAGACACATTGGCACGGGTCCTCTCAAACTCCTCCCCCTCCCTCTGAATACACTCATCCCATTGTGCGCGCCAACTTCTGGAGCAATCCGGACAGCCCTTCTTCACGAGTGTCTTTGCAAAGAGTAATTGAAAGAAAAAAAAAAAAAAAATGTATGCATTGTCAGCGCCACCTAGAGGTAAAGCCAGGCTCCCTAGAGGAACAAGAAGGGCTGCGGAGGGTGTCGCAACGGCGGTTCTGCCTGACCTAAGGCGGCCCCAGCGCCTCTCCCGACACCTGGAATGTAAACAGTTCCAGTATCCAAAGCCGGCCACGCCCTTTCCTGGAAGCTAAACTGCCGGTCGGAGCAGGGAGGGAGAAGGAGCAGGCCTGGCAGTTTTCCTTCTCAAGGTCACGCTTTGGAGATTGTGTTTGCCCATGGCTTGCCTTGTTCCCAGAAGAAACTTCCCCTGTCCGTGCGGCTACTGGACCTAGAGGGACGCCTAAGCTTCCCCACCTTGTGGACCTGAAGCCTCTCCAAGTAAATAAATACGCAAAAGTTGTTCACGTACCTGACCAAAGCAGCGCGAGAGAATGAAGAATTGTTCTTTTGCCTCTGAAGATCAGCGTGGGCTTCCTGGAAGAGGAGGCCTTTTGAGCACCTGATGAGAAAAGAAACAGATTTAGGCCAAAGGATTGTGAATGCCAGGATGAAGTTTTCTGTAGGAAACAGTGTTGCTGAAGATTTTGGGGGGAAGAGGAATAACAGGATTTTATCTCAGCAGTGAGGTAGAGATTAGATTGCCCCAGCAGGAAAGATTAAAGGTTAGGGGCCCAGTGAGAATTTTGCTGCAATAATTCAGATGAGCGGTGATAAGATGCTGCTTTCGAGTGCTAGGAAGCTGGAAAATTATAAGAAACTGCATTCCGGGAGCTAGACCTGGCAGGCCATTATGAGTAATTGGATGTTGCAGGTCAAGAAACTCAAGTGAATTTCTGCCTTGGTGAGTAGCGATGCTATTAATCGACGTAGCACGATGCAGTTGATTGCGGTCAGGTGGGGCTTGAGCCGTCTTTGAGAACCCGGGAGGAAATTAGCCGTGAGCTGTTAGAAATCTGAGTTCAGAACTCAGGAAGCAAATGTCACCAGTCATTAGCTTTGAGCAAGAGTTATGGATGATTTTGCTTGATAATCTTTAGGATCCTTAACTGGCCTGTGGGACTGCTGTGGCTACAATAAGGAATAAATTGAGTGAAGTGGTGCACACCTGTAATCCCAGCACTCTAGGAAACTGAGGTAGGAGAATTATAGGCTGGAGCCCAGGCTGGGCAACTTAGTGACCTAGCAAGACCCTCTCTCAATTAAAAAAAAAAAAAAAAACCGAATGGGCTATTTTTTATTAACTATAGCAGGAGACAGCTTTGGATGTGGAAAACTGGTTCAATCACAGATACCACCCAGCATGGGAACAGGACTGCAGAATTAGAGACCATTCCATTCAGCTCAGAACAACTGCTGAGTATTTCCTCTTTGTCAATCTCAGGGTTACTGAAGTGAACAGGGCCCAGCCTCAGCTACAGTCTCCAGCCTCAGAGATCCCCAACGAGGAGGGAAGTGCCAGCAGAGGAAGGAGGAGGAGATGTTCCCCCTTAGGGGGTTTCATTAGGACTTAGGGCACAACACATGGGCAGCAGCGCACCTGAGGAAGAAGGCTGTCTACCTGGATGAGGAGTCTGATTGACATCCAGAGCCTGAGATTCTGGCTTCTTTCAAATGCTTGTCTTTGTCTCAAGACATTGAAAGACAAAATCTCAGTCATCATACAAGCAACTCAAAGCATTATTTTTATACTAATCATTTGTCAGTCATGAAGCAGAAAGCAAAATGTAGGAGCAGGCGCTGAGATGGTTCAGTAGAATAAGCACTTGCCTGGCAAGCACAAGGGCCTGAGTTCAATCACCAGTTCTGGGGGGGAAAAATGTAGAAGCAGTTTTTTGGTTTGGGTTTTTTGGAGTTTTTTTGGAAACAGGTTGTCACTATGTCGTCCAGGCTAGTCTCTAACTTCTAGGCCTTAACCTCTCAAGTGACTAGGACTGTAGATGTGTGACTCCACACCAGTTTACAGGAGCATTTTTAAGACAAAGCCACAGGTGGAGCCTGAAGCCTTTTTCCTCTCCCTTGTCTTAGGATCCCAGGATCAAAGCCAGGCCTCCAGCATCAGCCTCTCCTTCCCTCTCCCCAGGCATTTGTCAAACTGTGTCCACCAACACCCCTTCCTTGACCTCCACCACCACCACCACCTGTACTTTTTTAATCTGTCCAATACAACCAATGGCTCCCTGCAGCCGAGAGCCCCCAGCTCTGCTTCCACCAGCCCAGGCCTCCTAGAGCCCCCATTTGTATGTGACACCCCATCTCCCACCCTCCATTCCCCTCCCCCACGCAAGTGTTGCCTGCTTTGAGGCTGCATATTACCCCTGATTTCCACGCTATCCCTATGGAAACACTAGGGCCTTCTCTGAGTCCAACAGGCGCTGCCTTTGGCTGAGCCAAGTTGGCTGCCAGGAAGAAAGGGGAACTGTCAGACAGATCTGTCAGCCCTAGACCCACAGAGCTGTGTTTCTGTCGCTAGGTCATGACGTGAGCTTCCTTCTCACCCTGCTCTGCCCAACAGTGACCTGGCTCCCTCTGTGTCACCCTCAGGCAAGGTCCAAACCTCTTTGTACATCTGTGCCCGGCTCCCAAAGGCAGCATTTCCTCATGATCACATGTAATTTGGGTTCCGTTTAATCACTGTTTGCTTTCTCTGTCTGGCTCCGTGTCCCAGCACTTGGCAGGCGCCCAAGCAGTACAGGAGCACTGGTTGGATGGTTCAATGAACACTCTTCCTCTGGCCAGCAAACCCAGCCTCCCTGAGAACTTCCTGGAGCTGGCCTGACTCCCACCTCTCATCTACCCAAGAGCTGGTGCTCAGGGTGGGAAGCCACAGGGACAGCAGGACACAGGCTGCCTCACGGCTGTCAGCGAAACTCCAGGAAAGTAAGGGAAGGAGCCACTGCGGCTGTTCTAGCCAATTCTCATCCTGCACTGCCACCTCCAGGGGACCAGGGCCTCGCCAAGGCAATGGGAGCTGCCACAAAGTTAGCCGGAAACATACTGATGCCCTCCTTCCTAATCTGAGTCAGAGCACAGTGGGGTAAGGAGAAATACTGGGACCAAATATTGGAAGCCCTCTCCTGGCCACTGTCCCAGGCCATTAGTTGGAGCAACCTGGGGCAAGGACAGAAGAAGCCTCCGGAAACACCTGACCCACGACCAAGTAGCAGCAAGCACCCATGGGGTGCAACACAGCTCCCAGGCAGGAGGCTGGGTGGAGCCCAAGTCTGCTTGCTGACAGATCCTGGGTGTCACTGACTGCAGCTGGTCTGGTGCAGGCATCCAGCTCTGAGGGTCAACATGTGGCCTCAGAAGCAGCTGCCCAGCAGCAGCAGCAGTTCAGCAGCTCTGGGAAGATGTTTGCTGCTGGAAACTTAAATGCCTCATCGGCCATGCTAGCATCCTTACGGCACCATGCCACACACTGGGATCCCGAACTGTGGGAGACTGAAGCAAGAGGACCCAAAGTTCAAGGCCAGCCTGGGAAATCTACACACTTCATGAGATGGTATCTTAGAATTTTTTAAAAATAGTTTTTAAAAAGTGCTGGGGATATAGCACAATGTGAAATCTCTGCGTTGAATCCTTAATACCAGGGGGAAAGAAAAAAAAAAGGAGTCAGGCACTATGGTGCATACCTGTAATCCTGACACTCCAGGAAGCTGAGGTAGGAGGGTCACAAAGCTCAGTGTAAAGGTTTAAAATCCTCAGTACTAAAAGAGAAAGGAACAAAGGAAAGAGAGAGAGAGAAAGAGAGAGAGAGAGAGACAGACAGAGAGAGAGACAGACAGAGAGACAGAGCCCCAGGCCCCATCTCAGGCCTGATGCCCAAGTCTGAAGCCATTGCCTGTGGAGCACCCTGCAGAGCTGTGACCACTGCTAGGATCCTGGGAAACTGATTTATTCCCTATGGGTAAAACCTGCATATTGAGTTTAAAAAAAAAAAAAAAAAAAAAAACCTCTCTAAGTTATCCTAATAGAAAGCGGAGTTTGTGGGCTTTGCTCTCTCTGTGTTAGACCATTTTACTAACTGTATTAAGTTTTAGCATTTTAAAAAATATTTATTAAATTTCTTTTCGCCTGAGAATGTACACAAAGAGGCAACAAACACTTGAAAAGATGCTCAACGGCATTGGTCACTCAGGAAATCCAAGGTAAAACCACAATGAGGTAACACCTCATCCCTCCTGGAGTGGAGGTCATTATAAAAATGGAAAATTAGCCAAAATGCCTGTAATCCCAGCACTTTGCAAGGCTGAGACAGGAGAATGCCCAACCTGGGCAACTTAGTGGCTTAGCAAGAGACTAACTCAAAATAAAAAAAAAAATAAATAGAACTGGGGATGTACCTCAGTGTGAAGATCCTGAATTCAAACCCTAGTACTGCAAGTAATAATAATAACAACAACAACAATGAAAATAACAAGTACAAGTGAGTTTGAGGAGAAACTGGAGCACCATGTGTGGTGGGTAGGAATGTATAACAGTACGGTCACTGTGGAAGCAGGTGAGGGTTCCTCAAAAAGCAGGATTGCCCTATGTTCCAGCATTTCCAGTATGAGACATAGAGCCAAAAGAACTGAAGTAAGGACTCAGGCACTTGTATTTCCAATGTTCATCAAAGCACTGGTCACCGAAACCAAAAAGCAGGAGCAGCCCAAGTGCCCCTCAATAGATGAGTAGGTAATAAACATGTTTTCTCTGTGCAGTGGAATATTATGCAGCCGTGGAGAGTGATAAAGTAGTGATACAAGCTACTTTATGGATGAGCCTTGAAAGAATTATGCCAAGTGAAAAAAGCCAAATACATGGGGTCAGGGAGATATCTCAGTGATCTAAGTGCCTCCCTGCCAAGTAAAAGATCCCGAGTTTGATCCCCAGTACCGCATGCCATATGGGCCCCAGAACCACATGTGATACTGCATGCCTATAATCCCAGCACTAGGGAAGCTGAGACAGGAAGATCACTAAAGTCTGAACTTCATAGTTCAGACTTGACCAAGACCCTGGCAAGTGTCTATATCAAAAAAAAAAAGAAAAAAAAATTCAGGTACAAAAGAACAAATATGTGATTCATATATAAAATATACAGCATAAATTAGTATCTCTCATTTTCTTTTGTTTTGGCAGAACTGGGGATTGAACTCAGGGCCTTGCACTTGCCAGAGAAGCACTTATTCTACTGAGCCATCTCCCTGGCCCTTCTCATTTTCTTAAATAGGCTCTAGGTGCACATACAACAAAATTCAAAGGAACAAAACGGTAGCCAGTGAGATGCCTTCCTCCCTCCCACCGCTGTCCCTCCCTCCCGGCTGCCTCTGCAGGACTACTGTCCTCAACTTCCTCAGCACCCTTAAAGGGTTACCTGTGCATGTGCATCACGTGAGTGTACCCTACTGTTTTCATAAATGTCCCTGAGCCAGGGAAGAGGATGTCCCCAGAACTTCTTCCCAGCAGAGCCTAATGCCCCAGCCAAGAGACCTCATCAGGCACAGGGACGGGGGTTTGATCCCCAGCATGGCCCACCAGCCCTGCCCCTGAGATGGTGACTGAGATGGTGACTGAGATTGGGCATGGTGGCATGCACCTGTAACCACAGAAGGATCACTGAGTCCGATCTGCGTAGTGAGACCCTGTAGACCCTGTACTAAATATATGAAATAAATAAATAGAGACCTCATCATCTGGCCTCAGTGTCTTTGCCAAGTCTCTGAAGCTCAGGATTTTGCCTCCCTCTTATAGACCAAGACCCTGGCACTAAGACCCTTGAAGAGTCCATGAGTTTTGGGGGTCGTAACCCTGCTTCCTCAGACATTTTTCCAGCCTGCTGAAAACTGTGCCAGGGTCCTTCCAACCCAGCTACAGGCCTTGGCTTCATCAGGGGAATTTCTTAGGCCCTATGGATCTTAAAGAGGGAAAACATCACTCGGGACGATTTTACAGAACCAGTGTTTCCATTTTAGCTTGTATGATAAAAGAAAATTTGCCTTCCATGATAGGTTCCACAGAACAGTTCTTTGCATATAGAAATTCTGCTGCTTTTTAGAACATCATCCTCTCCCCGACATCCCATGGACTCCTCTCACCCACCACATAGTAGTCTCCAGCTGATTACCATGTTTCCCACTGCAGCTGCGGCACACACAGAAAGTCTTCTGGTCAGCTCTGTATTCCAGCATCTGCAGGAATTCACATGTTTGGGTTCTCTTCCCAGTCGGTTTTAAAATAGAGAAGTTTTCAGAAGCCGAGTTTGGGTGTCATTAAAATGACAAATCACTAAAAAGCTTTCTTATTTATTGCTTGGTTTTCATGTGTGAACTTATCTTGTCCCAGCCAGAAGTTAGTGGCTGAAAAGTGACCTCTGAGTCTCCCTGCTTTGAACCACACTCACGCTAGCATCCTCAGGTGTTGGGATTCCAGGCCTGCATCCTCGCAGTTTCACCTATCAAACTTTGCCTCCTCCTGCAAGATTTTCACCATCAGCTGGATATAGTGGTACACATCTGCAGTCCCAGCACTCTGGGAGGCTGGGGCAGGAGGACCACAAGTTTGAGCCCAGCTTAGGAAACTTA